TTCTACCTCTACCGTGCTCTTGTACTACCTGTACTTGAGTATGGAATTCCAGCCTGGTTACCTCATACTGCTACACATTCGGATAGTATTGAAAAAATCCAAAGAAGGGCCACACGACTGGCACTGGGACAATTTAGAGGTGATATGGAATATATTGACAGATTATCTAAACTTCACTGGCCTCAACTTTCAACCCGAAGGCAATTTATTTTGATTTAATTTTTTTGCAAGGTTCTTTTGGGTTGTGTCGACTGTACAAGTATTTCTAACTCTATCCAAATCCTCACTTTTTTACCTCGCCACAGTGAAATTCTCTCCTTCAAACACCTTAAAGCTAATCATGATTTTCTCCACAAATCTGCAATTCACGCTTTCCCTCGTCTTTGGGAAGACCTTCCTAATGATCTTAAGAATTCTCTCGTCCTTGATTCCCTTCCCATATTCATTTCTAGACTCAAATCACACTTGTATACACAACATCCCTCATCTGAATAAAAATGATCTCATAACTGTAATAATCTTGTTGCTATGGTGCTTATTGTAATTGCAACTACTATAACAACAATAACAACAACAATAATCGTAATAATTATAATAATGATAATAATAATAATAATGATAATAATAATGATAACTATTATAATATTAATAATATGATAATGATGATGGCTATTATTTTTGTTATGATTGTTATAATGAAGATAATGGTAATTGTAGTTATAATGGTACATAATGGTGATAATAATAATAATAATAATCATAATTATAAATAATAAATAATAAAATAATAATGGGAATTTTGCTGTAATGATGGTAATAATAACAGTAGGTTTTGTAGAATAATTATAATTATTATTGTTATTGCTGTACTTTAATGGTGATTGTGATGACCTTGTTTTTGCTTTTAATGACTGTTTTTGCATTTATTCTGTTTTTTTTGTTTTGTTTTTTGTTTTGTTTTTTTTTTATTTATTCTTTATTTTATTTTTTGCTTGCTTTTTGCTTGATGTTGTGATGTGTTGTCTATTATATTTTATCTTACATTTTAATGATGTTTTTTTTATACTGGATGGGAGTGGTTCTCAAACAATTGTTATAGTAATTAAG